CGATTTATGCATTTCATATGTACACATTTGTGCTATTCGGCAGTCTAAATGCTAAACAATGTTGTCTTGCATCACATTGTTTATGTTGAGATTCAGTAGCCTAGGCTGCTGGTGACAAAGTTGATGATGTGTGGGCCGAGGCTGTTGGTGACAGAGTTGAAGATGTGTGGGCCGAGGCTTTGGTGACAGAGTTGACGATGTGTTGGCCGAGGCTGTTGGTGACAGAGTTGAAGATGTGTGGGCCGAGGCTGTTGGTTACAGAGTTGACGATGTGTGGGCCGAGGCTGTTGGTGACAGAGTTGAAGATGTGTGGGCCGAGGCTGTTGGTGACAGAGTTGAAGATGTGTGGGCCGAGGCTTTGGTGACAGAGTTGACGATGTGTTGGCCGAGGCTGTTGGTGACAGAGTTGAAGATGTGTGGGCCGAGGCTGTTGGTGACAGAGTTGAAGATGTGTGGGCCGAGGCTTTGGTGACAGAGTTGACGATGTGTGGGCCGAGGCTGTTGGCGACAGTTGAAGATGTGTGGGCCGAGGCTGTTGGCGACAGTTGAAGATGTGTGGGCCGAGGCTGTTGGTGACAGAGTTGATGATGTGTGGGCCGAGGCTGTTGGTGACAGAGTTGACGATGTGGGGGCCGAGGCTGTTGGTAAGAGAGTTGACGATGTGTGGGCCGAGGCTGTTGGTGACAGAGTTGAAGATGTGTGGGCCGAGGCTGCTGGTGACAGAATTGACGATGTGTGGGCCGAGGCTGTTGGTGACAGAATTGACGATGTGTGGGCCGAGGCTGTTGGTGATTTGAAGATGTGTGGGCCGAGGCTGTTGGTGACAGAGTTGAAGATGTGTGGGCCGAAGATGTTGGTGACAGAGTTGAAGATGTGTGGGCGGAGGCTGTTGGTGATTTGAAGATGTGTGGGCCGAGGCTGTTGGTGACAGAGTTGAAGATGTGTGGGCCGAGGCTGTTGGTGACAGAGTTGAAGATGTGTGGACCGAGGCTGTTGGCGACAGTTGAAGATGTGCGGACCGAGGCTGTTGGTGACAGAGTTGACGATGTGTGGGTCGAGGCTGTTGGTGACAGGGTTGATGATGTGTGGGCCGAGGCTGTTGGTGACAGAGTTGAAGATTTGTGGGCCGAGGCTGTTGGTGACAGAGTTGATGATGTGTGGGCCGAGGCTGTTGGTAAGAGAGTTGACGATGTGTGGGCCGAGGCTGTTGGTGACAGAGTTGAAGATGTGTGGGCCGAGGCTGCTGGTGACAGAATTGACGATGTGTGGGCCGAGGCTGTTGGTGATTTGAAGATGTGTGGGCCGAGGCTGTTGGTGACAGAGTTGAAGATGTGTGGGCCGAAGATGTTGGTGACAGAGTTGAAGATGTGTGGGCGGAGGCTGTTGGTGATTTGAAGATGTGTGGGCCGAGGCTGTTGGTGACAGAGTTGACGATGTGTGGGCCGAGGCTGTTGGTGACAGAGTTGAAGATGTGTGGGCCGAGGCTGTTGGTGACAGAGTTGAAGATGTGTGGGCCGAGGCTGTTGGTGACAGAGTTGAAGATGTGTGGGCCGAGGCTGTTGGTGACAGAGTTGACGATGTGTGGGCCGAGGCTGTTGGTGACAGAGTTGAAGATGTGTGGGCCGAGGCTGTTGGTGACAGAGTTGACGATGTGTGGGCCGAGGCTGTTGGTGACAGAGTTGACGATGTGTGGGCCGAGGCTGTTGGTGACAGAGTTGATGATGTGTGGGCCGAGGCTGTTGGCGACAGTTGAAGATGTGTGGGTCGAGGCTGTTGGAGACAGAGTTTAAGATGTGTGGGCCTCTGTTAGGGTGCTACCGACACCCTTGTGGTTAGATTAACATAGTTGGATAGATAGTGTAACCTTTCAATGTTTCCAAACGATTTCAAGAGATTTGTTCACTGCAAAGTGTTTCAAAAAGCCTGCACATTTAAGCCCAGAACGAAAATTGGCACGTTTCTCAAACTCGCAATGCCGACCAAGTGTTTTCGATTTCCTTACTTGGATGTACTTTTGCTGGAGAGATGAAAAACACGCTTTTCTCAAATATCAAGCGATTTTAGTGCATGATGGCTCGTTGGAAAGCTCTCCAAATTTTAAGACGTTTGATACCAAATCCGACACACCTATAAGGGGTCGTTAGGGACATACAACCGTTTGAAGGTGTCTTGATTAATGTCAGAGGCCTCTGTTAGGGTGCTACATCACGCGCATGCGCGACACCCATGTGGTTATTTTAACATAGTTGGATAGTCGATGTAACCCTTTCAATGTTTCCAAAACCACATTTTTCTTATCAGTTTTGGTATCTACCGCATGAAATTGTAGCGTAATAACTCAATTTAGAAGGGGACGTATTTTAATACAAATAGTAGTCTCTCCATTTTCTACGTCTGTGAGAATCACTATGCGCTTTAATATTCTTTCGGTAAAACTTCTGTCTGTCATAAACATAATCATTATTTCCATCAGCAGATCACAAAACATTGTGTCTGACGATTTGGAGGATCGCAACCAGTCATATTCTAGTAACTATGACTCCTTAAATACACATGTTTGAACATTCACAACTTTTGATTTCTTTTTCTTGGTCGATAGATTTATCAGTTTCAGTCACGTTAACTTGAAAATATGATGTAATCATTCGTTTTCCTTTTCAATTTCCTTTCAAATTGACAGGAGTCGCCATGCCAGGCGTAGTTCACGCTTCATATGTGTAAACTTACATGAATTGTGTCCAGAGGGTCTATAAAAACATATGAACTTTACCTATGTGAGCACGGGCATGGTGCTGACAAACCTAGAAACATTATCGGGGCGAACCGGGACTCGGACCCACAATCATAGGTTTCTGGCGTGCCCAAGGGACGCAACTCTGCACAGTGAATCACCTTAGACGACTGGACCACCCGTGCTCCCAAAGACATGAGATTCGAACGGATTATTTCGAAAATCGTGAACATTCTTACTCCAACATTTATTACAATATATGTATCTTTGATGTAGTAATGACCAATTTGTGTACTGACACTTTGAAAACATATTTTTGAATTTGTGCAATATTTGGTGAAATGTCCACAAAAATATGGTATATTCAAACATATCAATGTCGTCATACGGAACAGAATCTCATTTAACGTCTCGATGTTTGATGCTTGATGCGTTTTCATTGTGTGTCAGTATACATTGATTCTGGCTTATTCGAACGGTAACGAACTAAGTTATTCCCATAGAATTTATTTATTTACTTTTATGTCAACTGAACCAAAGCTGTTGTATTTTATATCGGGCAGAGTTTGTATACAGTTTACATGTCTTTGTACATACCGATATGTATTCCTACGGTTGGTCACCAGTCTCCGTTTGGCTTGTGCCGGAATGGCAAGGGTTGGTCACGAATGAGTCAGACTGCATTTGACATCGAGTGTATCCGCCATTAGTGTAACTGCCACACATCGTCTGTGCATACATAACAAAATATGTTTCAGGTAACACATTTTATTATTCGTGTATCTTTTGCTGTTCAGCATGTAAGAGCCGGTTGTCTACGAACCATGTTCTGTAGATAATGTTTCGCTGATACTTGAGGAAATAATATTTGATATTGAGCATAACATTTGCTGCTACAAATGAACATCACTCTCCACTGTAGTCAAGTACCCCAGTTTAGGAGGTTAACGCTGTGTTGAACAGTATTCCAGTTATATGACGGGTCGGGCTTGATGTGGGAGGAAAGCCTGACGTGATGCTGGACTGGACGTACACGTTTGGCTCTGGTAGAACCAGTCAGCACGTGATATTACAATACATCTATCAAAGTCTACGAGTGCGTAGTTAATTACTAAGTAAATCCGATATGTCCAGAAATAATTAGTTGTTTTGAAACTTTCGCATCTAGATCAGGAGTATCTACATTTCATTTTTGTTTGTTTGTTTCTACTAGAAATGCCTATACATTTAAATTGTCAAATTGTCTTGACATGATGAGTATATTACTGATAGATCATTTTGTATTGAACGTCGTGCTAAGGCTGAAAGCCTTTGCGACGTAAACTTCATTACCAGAAAATATAATGTGTGATGATATCACTACCTCCACCCTGAATGTCATTAACATAAAATATAATGCTTGATGATATCACTACCTCCACCCTGCATGTCATTAACATAAAATATAATATGTGATGATATCGCTACTCCCTCAACCCTGCATGTCATTAACAGAAAATATAATGTTTGATGATATCACTACCTCCACCCTGCATGTCATTAACAGAAAAAGTAATGTTTGATGATATCACTACTCCCTCCACCCTTCATATCACAAACTTCTCTGAGAATAGGTGTGATCACATCACTATACTCCCTCCATCTTGCATGGCATAAACAGAGAATATATTGTGAGAAGATATCACTACACTCCCTCTATCTTATACATGCATGTTATACATAGAGGATATCCCATGTGAGAGATGTCACTAAAAACCCACCAAGCATAGCTAGTTTTCCATCAAACAGTACGCCATGTATTTCCAGGAATCCTACTTTCGGTTTCAGGAAACGACAAGGGTGTATTAAATGATGTAAAATTAGAAACGTGCGATATGAGATCGTATTTTGTCCTCCAGTATAAACAAAATCAAGTTGTATGTTGTAACCCTAAGCCATATCTGTTAATAAGGTGCATGAATATAAGATGCGCGATGTCCGAGAGTAATCGCCATATGTAATACACTGTTTGTTGCAAGGCATTTGGTGTTGCAGGCAGTTCTATACAAGGCTAGACGCCTACTGTTACGCTGTCATCAATCGCGCCAGATGACAGAATGACAGATTATTCTTAATGTAGAGGTCGGACAGGGTATGTCTACATGGCATAACTGACAACAGCGAATCTGTCGACAGGTGTTTCAAATAAATAACCGACGGGAATAAGTTGTCTCCGGATAGTACATGTGTATATATGAGATCAGAGTGACACTGAGCGCAGGGCTGATAACCGGGCTCTGTCTAATCATGACGCGTTGACAGCGCGCGGTGAGAGCCGAAAACCAGGTACTGAGCGCAGGGCTGATAACCGGGCTCCGTCTCATCATGACGAGGTAGGACCTGCGTCGTCACTGTGCCAATAAGGTAGCGTTTAATGCATGTCTTGTTCAATGTAGATTTTATTTCGTATTTTTCACGCCGTTTGAGGTGATCGGATAGAATTGAATAGAAATCGGATTTTATCATACTTGAACGTCAAAGACATTTCTAACCCAAAACGAACTGTGTGACATTATATTACCGGTAGAATATACATTGTCGGCACTGGCGCGAGTCATGACAGCGTAACAGTATGCGTCTAGCCTTGTATAGAACTGACTGCAACACGAAATGCCTTGCAACAAACAGTGTATTATATATGGCGAATATTCTCGGACACCGCGCATCTAATATGCATGTACGTTATTAACAGATATGGCTTAGGGTTACAACATACAACTTGATTCTGTTTGCATTGGAGGAAACAAAATACGTTACTCTGAACATTGGTATCAAGTATCTCTTATCGCACGTTTCTAATATTACATCGTTTAATACACCCTTGTCGTTTCCTGAAACCGAAAGTAGGATTCCTGGAAATACATGGCGTACTGTTTGTTGGAAAACTAGCTATGCTTGGTGGGTGTTTAGTGACATCTCTCACATGGGATATCCTCTATGTATAACATGCATGTATAAGATAGAGGGAGTGTAGTGATATCTTCTCACAATATATTCTCTGTTTATGCCATGCAAGATGGAGGGAGTATAGTGATGTCATCACACCTATTCTCAGAGAAGTTTGTGATATGAAGGGTGGAGGGAGTAGTGATATCATCAAACATTATATTTGCTGGTAATGACATGAAGGGTTGAAGGAGTAGTGATATCATCACACATTATAGTTTCTGTTCATGACATTCAGGGTGAAACGAGTAGTGATATCACACATTATATTTTCTGTTCATGACATGCAGGGTGGAGGGAGTAGTGATATCCCACATTTTATTATCTCTTAATGACATGCAGGGTGAAGGGAGTCTTGATATCATCACACATTATTTTTTCTGTTAATGACATGCAGGGTGGAGGTAGTGATATCACACATTATATTTTCTGTTAATGACATGCAGGGTGGAGGGAGTAGTGATGTCACACATTATATTTTCTGTTAATGATATGCAGGGTGAAGGGAGTAGTGATATCATCACACATTTCATTTTCTCTTAATGACATGCAGGATGGAGGGAGTAGTGATATCATCACACATTATATTTTCTGTTAATGACATGCAGGATGGAGGGAGTAGTGATATCATCACACATTATATTTTCTGTTAATGACATGCAGGGTGGAGGGAGTCTTGATATCACACATTATATTTTCTCTTAATGACATTCAGGGTGGAGGTAGTGATATCATCACACATTATATTTTCTGTTAATGACATGCAGGATGGAGGGAGTAGTGATATCATCACACATTATATTTTCTGTTAATGATTTGCAGGATGGAGGGAGTAAATGATATCACATATTATATTTTCTGTTAATGACATGCAGGGTGAAGGGAGTAGTGATATCATCACAAATTTCATTTTCTGTTAATGACATGCAGGATGGAGGGAGTAGTGATATCATCACACATTTCATTTTCTGTTAATGACATGCAGGATGGAGGGAGTAGTGATATCATCACACATTTCATTTTCTGTTAATGACATTCAGGGTGAAACGAGTAGTGATATCACACATTATATTTTCTGTTAATGACATGCAGGATGGAGGGAGTAGTGATATCACACATTATATTTTCTCTTAATGATATGCAGGGTGGAGGTAGTGATATCACACATTATATTTTCTGTTAATGACATGCAGGGTGGAGGGATTAGTGATATCACACATTATATTTTCTGTTAATGACATTCAGGGTGGAGGTAGTGATATCACACATTATATTTTCTGTTAATGACATGCAGGGTGGAGGGATTAGTGATATCACACATTATATTTTATGTTAATGACATGCATGGTGGAGGGAGTAGTGATATCACATATTATATTTTCTCTTAATGACATGCAGAGTGGAGGGAGTAGTAATATCATCACACATTATATTTTCTGTTAATGACATGCAGGGTGAAGGGAGTAGTGATATCACACATTATATTTTCTGTTAATGGCATGTAGGGTGGAGGGAGTCGTGATATCACACAATATATTTTCTGTTAATGACATGCAGGGTGGAGGGAGTAGTGATATCATCACACATTATTTTTTCTGTTAATGACATGCAGGGTGGAGGTAGTGATGTCACACAATATATTTTCTGTTAATGACATGCAGGGTGGAGGTAGTGATATCACACAATATATTTTCTGTTAATGACATGCAGGATGGAGGGGGCTGAAACTGCTATTGAGGTCAATCTAAGCTGCTCCATCTGCATTGAGGTTCTGCGAGACCCAAAGACACTGCAGTGTCTCCACAACTTCTGTTCCACGTGTCTCCAGAAGTATCTTGATTCATCAACACGTCACAACCCCCGTGTGTCCGGCATTGCATGTCCCATCTGCAAAGAAGAGACCCAGGTCGCTGACCCTTCTCGGCCAGTGAGCCAGTGGGTGAACCAGCTCCGCACCAACTGCAGCATCAGGAACACCATCGAGGAGGGCCTGCACACGCCTGCCAACAAAGGTGAGACGGCCCTGGTGGATGTTTCAGGGGAAAGGGGAAGGAGAGGTCATAGGGAAGAAGTGGCGATGGTTGAGATTATGTGAGTTGTATATTTACTGTTAAATAACACACTCAGCAATATATTCGAGCTATATGATAGTGGCCTGTAAATAATGAAGCCAAATACGCCTGTGATTGATATTCTGAGCAACGATTCACATCTCAAGGGTACAATGACACGTCATCACCACCAACCTAACCACATATGTTGCTGGTGTGACTTAAATCGTAACTCACTCACTCACACATATGTTGCTGGGGACCAAAGGCCACACCTCTTTAATCTTATGTGTCACGGGTTTATTCAAGCTTTGCCACACAAGGTTGGTCAAAATATAAAAAAATATAAATGTCAAGTATTTGTTTATTTTATGAAAATCATTCACCTGTGGAGTTGCAGGTGGCCTCTTGAACCACGGATAGTGATGTATACATGGAATTTACATATAACATTAAGGGGCGGTCGGGTAGCCTAGTGGTGAAAGCGTTCGCTCGTCACGGGTTCGAATCCCAACATGGGTACAATGTGTGAAGCCCATTTCTGGTGTTCCCTGCCGTGATATTGCTGGAATATTGCTGTATGTATATGGGTGAGGTGGCGAGGCTTTGGGTGAGGTGGCGCGGCTTGAGTGAGGTGGTGAGGCTTGAGTGAGTCGGTGAGGCTTGAGTGAGTCGTTGAGGCTTGAGTGAGGTGGTGAGGCTTGAGTGAGTCGGTGAGGCTTGAGTGAGTCGGTGAGGCTTGAGTGAGGTGGTGAGGCTTGAGTGAGGTGGTGAGGCTTGAGTGATTCGGTGAGGCTTGAGTGAGGTGGTGAGGCTTGAGTGAAGTGGTGAGGCTTGAGTGAGTCGGTGAGGCTTGAGTGAGGGGGTGAGGCTTGAGTGAGGTGGTGAGGCTTGAGTGATTCGTTGAGGCTTGAGTGAGGTGGTGAGGCTTGAGTGAAGTGGTGAGGCTTGAGTGAGTCGGTGAGGCTTGAGTGAGGTGGTGAGGCTTTGGGTGATTTGGCGCGGTTTGAGTGAGGTGGTGAGGCTAGAGTGAGGTGGTGAGGCTTGAGTGAGGTGGTGAGGCTTGAGTGAGGTGGTGAGGCTATGGGTGAGGTGGCGAGGCTATGGGTGAGTTGGCGCGGCTTGAGTGAGTCGGTGAGGCTTGTGTGAGGTGGTGAGGCTTGAGTGAGGTGGCGAGGCTTTGGGTGAGTTGGCGCGGCTTGAGTGAGTTGGCGCGGCTTGAGTGAGGTGGCGCGGCTTGAGTTAGGTGGCGAGGCTTTGGGTGAGGTGGTGAGGCTTGAGTGAGTCGGTGAGGCTTGAGTGAAGTGGCGAGGTTTGGGTGAGGTGGCGAGGCTTTGGGTGATTTGGCGAGGCTTTGGTGAGGTGGCAGTGGGGTGAAATGCTACCAGGCAGGATGTATTGAAGCTGTTGGATCAAAGAACTGATCCAGATTGACTAAATAATTACATATCATACACTTACACTTAATACAAGCGGTCCACGCTGTATACGTTGATCCATGTCAAAGAGTGAGTGAGTGAGTTTGGTTTGATGCTGTAGTTCAGCCAGATCATGACATGTCAGCATATGGGAGAGTCTCAGTTTTACAGGTTGTAGAAATGTTATTCTACGTCTGATGCATATATTATTCCATGTCTGGTGTATGTTTGATATATTCCATGTCTGCTATTATTCCCTATCTGATCGGGGGCACGGGTGGCCCAGTCGTCTAAGGCGACGGGATTCGCTGTGCAGAGTTGCGTCCCTTGGGAACACCAGAAACCTATGGTTGTGGGTTCGAATCCCGGTTCGCCCCGATTATGTTTCTAGGTTTTTCAGCACCATACCCGTGCTCGTGGGTTTCACCGAAGTGGTAAAAGTCTGAGACCTGCATCACTTCGGGCTTTCCTCCCACATTAAGCTGACACGCCGCGATATAACTGGAATACTGTTAAAAGCGGCGTTAAACCCAACTCTCTCACACACACACACCCTATCTGATCATACTCTGTCTCCAGATTGTGACATCTGCAGAGATGATGACAGGGCAGTCCAAGCAGAGTTTCAATGTTCAACATGTCAGCTCACGTTCTGCCAGTCCTGTCACCGTGTCCACAGAAGGATCCCTACATGCGAAAACCATACAGTGAGAAGAATAGCCACCAGCCCTCCTCTCAAGCATGAATGTTATAACATTAACATCAACCTGAAAAAGAATGCGTCATCAAGTCAAAGAAAGAAAATGTCCATGAGAGTTCGAAATGAAATAAAATCCAAAATTGATGTCATTTATCACAGAGGCATGGAGAACATCAAGCAGAAGAAGGAGAAGTTAACAGAGGATACTGATGCTGTAATAGATGAAGTGTTGGAGAAATTTGATACATCCTATCCAGTACCTGCTAATGCAGAGAGTGATTACAGCTCCTCTGAAGATTCCGGTGAAGAGGACAGCGAAAAGGTAGTGGTTACGATCAAGCTGTCATCAAAGGTGGAGACATTTATCAACAGCAGCTACGAAGCTTCATTGGCATCGGCAAGGACAACATTCGACTTCAAGGAAGCGGATGATCCGAGATTGCCCCCACCTGATTCCGATATCTCTGGGATTGAGACCATAGAGGTTCTTGTAAACATGGATGATCTGGAGGACTCGGAGTCTGATGAAGAGGATAAGATGGAAGAGTTGTCTCCGAGCTATCTGGGTACCACTGACGGTAAGATTGAAGATGAAGATGATCCTTGGATAAAGAGCATCCTTGTTATGAATTCCTTAGACATGGAAACTATCATTGTGACCGATAACAACAACAGCTGCGTCAAGTCCTTCTACACTGACGAAGGGGGAGATCATCATAGCCGCTTAGAGCTGCCTGGTAAGCCATGGGGACTCACAGAGCTTAAAAATGAAAGGATTGCTGTTACGTCTCCAGAACAAAAGGCTATCTACACAATCAGGGTCAATCCTGAACTTGAGATGCAGAAGGTAATAAAAGTTGGAAAGAAATTGTTCAGTGTTGCCACAGTGGATGCTGATGCAGTTGTAGCTTGTGCTCAAGAAGAGCATCCCCCTGCCTTATACATCATCAACATGAAGGGAACCATCCTGAAAACCATTGCTCGTTTCAGGAATTGTAACCTCTTGGAATCCCCAACATGCATCGCAATGTCACCTTGGGGAGATTATAATTATTTGGTTGCTGAAAAAAGGGGGAAGATTCTGTCCATAACCAAAGAAGGGATTCCTGGTATGGAAGTGGACACCGAGCTCCAGCAGCCGTTACAGTGGATAACATGTAGCAGCGATGGCAAGCTGTTTATAGTTGACAAGGAAAGCAACAAAGTTGTGTGGGTCAGGGAAGGAAAAGATAACATGACTGTCCTTTCAGAAGAACATGGCATCCTCTTCCCAAAAAGTGTCTGCCTACACAGGGGCGCCATGTTCGTGGTGGAGCAGAGGGGGACTATTAAGAAGTTTCAGCTCACCAAAGAAACTTGACATAACTTTATTATTTCCACACTTGGACAATAGCAAGAGATTTACATGAACTAACATTCCTTTGTTGGCGGGGTAAGATGCCAAGATTGGTCTGAAAATCTACAGTGGATGTGTCTAGTGCTTAAAGCTCCATAAGCAGTTTTCAGACCTTTTTAATTGTTGGTTTAGATAACCATGTGTATTCACAATGATTGGTGTTTGACGCCATACAATAAGGTAATGGTTGCTGTAGATAAGCATGTGTGGACCATGAGTGAGTGAGTGAGTGAGTGGGTGAGTGAGTATAGTTTAACACTGCTTTTAGCAATATTCCAGCAATATTACGGCGGGGGACACCAGAAATGGGCTTCACACATTGTACCCATGTCGGGAATTGAACCCGGGTCTTCGGCGGGACGATCGAACGCTCTAACCACTAGACTACCCGACGGCCCCTGTGTGGACCAGACAAATCAGTGATTTGCTATTATTATTATTATGATGAGCAGCAGTCCACTAAGTCGGAGTACAACAACATGTAATCAACAAATTCACTTTGTCCGCCCACCTGATCCATTTTAGGGGGTGCTCGGGTAGCCTAGTGGTTAAAGCGTTCGCTCATCACGCTGAAGACCGGGTTCGATTCCCGACATGGGTGCAATGTGTGAAGCCAATTTCTGGTGTCCCCTGCCGTGATATTGCTGGAATATTGCTAAAAGCGGCGTCAAGCCATACCCACTCACTGATCCATTTTAGTGAGATTCATAGAAGGTGAATACTTTTGGGCTTCCTTCTCTGTGTTATTTAACAGAAACGTCCCTTATGTTTTGCAGTGTGTATTTTCTAAAGTTGTATGATCTTTTAACACACCAGGACTGACGATCAAAGTGTGCTTTCATATGGTCGGTTTTCAATTACATTTGTCCAACATTCAAAAACAACTAACTTCTCGGAAACTGGTTAATGTTGAAAGTTGGATTTGTCAATGGCATTAATGTAATATATTCGTTCCGGATGACAATCTTTCTTTTGTGTGTCACAGTTCCCTCTTTAATATGACAATGTATGTCTTGTGTCCTGCGCTTGCGCCATGGATCATGTCATATGATATGCCATGCCGCCAGAATAAAAAAAACCCCTCGATGATACCGAGTCATTCTGTCATCTCTACTTGCCCGGTCAGTATAAAACGATTAATACATTGCATCAACGTGTTGTTTTCTGTAGAAAAATGGAAGGAAAAGAAAATATGATAGTAAGGTTTCACGACATACGAGACTCATCTCACTCGGAATGTAGACGGTAAGCTACAGTGCCTTGGCACTGAATAAATCAGGCCTTGGTGTTCGAAACTGAAATTTAGGTGCGTGTAGATCTTGTTGCACCTGGTGCAATTGTAAATGCTAAGAAACAAACCGACAAATTAAAAACAACAACACTTGAATGAGTGAGTGAGTGAGGTTTTACGCCGCTTTTAGCAATATTCAAGTAATACCAAGGCGGGGGACACCAGAAATGGGCTTCAGACATTGTACCCGTGTCGGGAATCGAACCCGGGTCTTCGGCGTGACGAGCATACGCTTTAACCACTAGGCTACCCGACCGCCCCCACTTGAATGAGTGATGTAGCAAAGATTGTGATCAAACAGAGCCCCAGGTTAGCTGAATATTCGACTCAAATATGCAAAATGAATCACTAGTACCAACTTAAGTTGTATTTGTAAAAATTCGCAGGAAAATCTCAAAACCGCCATCGTTTAACACTGCATAATGAATCCTTTTCAACATGCGTGCATGTATTTCTTTACTGATCAAGTGAGTGTGAGCGAGTTGGATTTTACGCCGCGTTTAGCAATATTCCAGCAATATCACGGCGGGGGACACCAGAAATGGGTTTTACACATTGCACCCAGAGCTTCGGCGTAACGAGCAAACGCTTTAACCACTTGGCTACCCCAACGCCCTTACTGATCAAAAGAAGGAAATCTACTGTAGTGACTGATGCACACAAAAAGAACACTTCTTGACAAAAAGACCTCTATTCTGCTGTGACATACAAATTAAAAGTCACATCTTGTGACAGCATTTCAATATGAATGTGAGTGAGTATGCTTTTACGCCGCTTTTAGCAATATTCCAGCAATATAACGGCGGGGAACACCAGAAGTTGGCTTCACACATTGTACCCTTTTGGGGTCTTCAAAGTGAGTGAGTGAGTGTGGTTTTACGCCGCTTTTAGCAAATTCCAGCAATATCACGGCGGGGGACACCAGAAATTGGCTTCACACATTGTACCCATGTCAGGAATCGAAACCGGGTCTTCGGCGTGACGAGCTAAAGCTTTAACCACAAGGCTACCCGACCGCCCTCTTCTAAGCCGTATATGGGTCACCTATTAAAAGTTTAGATTTGGCCATTCGGAACCGCTCATTCTGTTTACTAAAACCTCGGTCACACAGACAATGCCATCGCGATGCAACCTGCTGGCGACCAATTTTTGACAATCGCAGTGAGGTTTCAAGGGTCTCTGAAAGGTTTCACTGAGGTCGCCACAAGGTTTCAGAGCGGTCGCGAAACCCATTCGGTCGCAACCAGTCTTTGGAACATACACAAAAGACTTGATGCGACCGATTTGGTAGCTCGGAGGTTTCATTGGTCTCCTAGAGGTCCCCAAGTGATCTTATTTTAATCACAGATTGGTTTCCATTGTCCGGCGATCGGTTTCGTCTACACAAGGATGACTCTTTGCAACCAATAGGCGACCTATCAGTGATTGATCAGTGATGAGGCGGTGATCGACCGGCGCAACTGAAGAACAACTGAAACTGGACAACTTGCAAAGAAATGATTTGATTCAGAAAAGCATTATGTTTTGATCGGTGATCGATCGACAACTAATCACCGACCAGTCTCCGTTCAGTTGCAACAAGTCACCGAAGATTCGCTGACAATTCATCGAACTGTCTCAACCGGTTGCAAACATTTCGCCGTATCTGCGGTGAACAGTTGTCGATCAATCACTGACAAGTTGCAAAACCTATCACTGATTGATCAGCGCCAGTCAGTCGCAAAGGAAATCAATCGCCAAGAGGTTGCATCGCGGTCGCATTGTCTGTGTGACTGAGCCTTATTAAACAGAATGAGCGGTTTCGGATAGACAAATCTAAACTCTTAATAGGTGTCCATATACGGCTTAGAAGACAACTGGACCTGTGAAAATTCCGGGGTAGAATAGGTCTTCAGCAACCCATGCTTGTCGTAAAAGGTGACTGTGCTTGTCGTAAAAGGCGACTAACGGGATCAGGTCGTCAGGCTCGCTGATTTGGTTGATGCGTCATCGATCCCAATTGCGTGGATCGATGATCATGATGTCAATCACTGGATTGTCTGGACCAGACTCGATTATTTACAGACCGACGTCATATATCTGGAATATTGCTGAGTGCGGCGTTAAACAACAAACAACAACAACTAGAAGACGACTGGGCCACCCGTGTCCTCTGTTTCCATAGGTCATTTAATCAATTTGGTATATATCTGAAAGAAAACACACTATACGGTACATTGATTATTTCAATCCCGCATTGAGGACAACGTATATCAAAGGGCTCAGCAGAACTAATTTTCCGATTATGAAAAAGATCCCGAAAATCTCGGAAAGAGTTTATTTGATTGGCAGTTAAAACTTTTTTTTAACCTTAAGTTTGAAGTTTTGAACAAATGGTGTTAAAGCAAAGCGTGTGGCTGAACGAGTTGAAATGGTCAGTTTATGCGGTTTTTGAAAAATGATATGTAATTGTTTCAACATGAGTGCGTTCTTGACCGAAGAGTGAAGAGGTCATAGAGTGAGTGAGTTGCGTTTAACGCCGCTTTTAACAGTATTCCAGTTATATCGCGGCGTGTCAGCTTAATGTGGGAAGAAAGTGATGCAGGTCTCAGACGTTTACCACTTTGGTGAAACCCACGAGCACGGGTATGGTGCTGACAAACCTGGAAACATAATCGGGGCGAACCGGGATTCGAACCCACAATGATAGGTTTCTGGCGTGCCCAAGGGACGCAACTCTGCGAATTGCGGCGCCTTAGACGACTGGGCCACCCGTGCCCCCACTTATATTCATAGAGAAGATATTTTTAATACATGTATTGATAAATCTTGAAACTTGCTCATAGTTTTTTTCTGAAATACTTTGAAAACTCTACTTTCTGTATGTGGTCTGGCTCGCTGACTAGGTGCATGCATGTCATCGTATCCCAATTGCGTGGATCAATGCTCATGACATATCAATCACTGGATTGTCTGGTCTAGACTCGATTATTTACAGACCGCCGTCATAGAGGTGGAATATTGCTGAGTGCGGCGTTAAACAACAACTTAAAAATTGAGCTTTCAAATTCAAGTGTTAAAAATGTCCAATTACTACGGTGGCCCATAAGGGACATGGAGTCTGTTTTTTGATATTTCACTTACTTTTATCGTAACCTTTTGCAAATCAACACGCTTTGTCTTACAAATATGTGATAAATCATGTGTAAAGAAGATAATGTCAAAAACTAAAATGAAAATGTCAAAAACAAAAACGAAAATGTCAAAAACTAAAATGAAAATGTCAAAAACTAAAACGAAAATATCAAAAACTGAAATGAAAATGTCAAAAACTAAAATGAAAATACAGAAAACTATTTCCAAACTATATACCCCCTATATGTAAGTATAGAATCTCTACTTACATATAGGGGGTATATATTTTTATTTACTGACCAATAACGAGTTCCTGTGTTGGTAATGCAACACATTTCCATTTACGAAAGTTCAAATCCTGTATTAATTCTGCTGAAAAAGATACAGACTTTGAGACCCAGCAAATGAAATGACATTTATTGAAACAAATTCAATGGTAATTGTCATTGCATTACCCTTTCAAGGGGCACGGGTGGCCCAGTCGTCTGAGGCGCCGCGATTTGCAGTGAAGAGTTGCGTCCCTTGGGCACGCCAGAAACTTGATTGTGGGTTCGAATCCCGGTTCGCCCCGATTATGTTTCTAGGTTTGTCAGCACCACACTGGTGCTAGTGTGTTTCACTGAAGTGATAAACGTCTGAGACCTGCATCACTTCGGGCTTTCCTCCCACATTAAGCTGACACACCGTGATATAACTGGAATACTGTTAAAAGCGGGGTTAAACCCAACTCACTCACTCACTACTCCAGTAATATGGAAACTTGTGCACAGCCCAAATCAAAATTGCAGCTGGTAGAATGCATTCTTGCCTTTCTTGATACTGCTATGAACAGACATGTTCAGAAAAGAAACAAAACAGTCATTGTATATCTTTGTATTTATTCCTTATCTATGATAACAATTTTCACATAAAGTGATAAGTTTTGTAAAATAATATTTAATGGTTTATCAAAACAGTTTTGGTTTAAAAGTTTTACATGTTCAAATGAAACAGCAGACCAAAACATGTCTTAACTTAGCATTTCGCAAATGGCCTTCAATATTTTGACATGAATATTTTACAAGAAACAATTTAATAATTAATAAACACCGAAATAGCAATAAATTCCCCCAGCAACCAAAATCATTACTTCAAATAAATGCATGAATTTTAGCAGTGCCTTGATATTGATATGATTTAAATAACAATCATAACAACATTATGATGCACACATGTCCATATATATAGTTGTTTTTAATGAAAGTCCTAGGGAATTAAAGGGAGACTATGCTCAAGCCAATTAGCAGTCTCAGCAAATTTGATTAGTTCCTTAAACACCAATACTATAGTGTGTACAGTTTCAAATTTAGCAGTTAATGATGACCAAAACTACAGGGATAGTGAGTGAGTGGGTTGGGTTTAACGCCGCTTTTAACAGTGTTACAGGTATATCACGGCGTGTCAGCTTAAAGGAAAGCCTGAAGTGATGCAAGTCTCAGACATTTACTACTTCGGTGAAACCCACGAGCACGGGTATGGTGCTGACAAACCTAGAAACATAATCAGGGCAAACCGGGATTCGAACCCACTATCATAGGTTTCTGGCGTGCCCAAGGGACGCAACTCTGCACAGCGAATTGCGGCGCCTTAGACGACCGGGCCACCCGTGCCCCCTACTACAGGGATAGTGTCTTATTCACCCAGTATTAAACTGCCTAGAACTAGGTAGAGCACAGTTCCCCTTTAACATCCCATTGTCAAGC